AATAAAACAGCAATTAGGGTGGCATTCAAACCTACAAACTCACTCAGACAGGACAAGCCCTGTAGGCTAAAAGACCCGGTGGACCCAATTAGACAAAACAATATAATTTACAAAATATCCTGCAATGACTGTGAATAAGGTAAACTACATAGGTCAAACTAGTAGGTCAGGGGTAGTCAGATTGTCAGAACATAAGAATTTAGCTAAGGTTAGAATGGTTGACCCCGAGAAGATAAGTAATTTAGACAAAGCTCAGCAAGATTTTAAGAAGTAATCTGTGTAGGTGGAGAGAGAGGTTGATTACTGAATTCTTGTTCATCGAGTCTACACCCAACACAATCAATAAGAATGACTCATCACTCATACCCGAAATATGGAAAATACTACTACTAATCAAATCAAGTGAAAAACAATGGAACTATATCAATGAAGTTAGGAAGTCGTGTGATTACCTTGATATGATTATGAGCAATAAATTGTTCTCGAAACGTCATCAGTAAACATTACTGTATAACACTGTGAGACTTTATCAAAACAAAATTTACCCATAATGGTATTACACTCTACCACAGTGCACAAGTTTTATTCTTATATCAATGAAACTGTATACCACTTTCGATATCAAATTCGTATTCTTATAAACCCAAAAAACAATGAGTACATATCATTCAAACTTTTATCCAGAGTCGTTTTTACTCAGGGCTACAAGTGAATGTTTTAATGAATTGCAAATCTGAGAGTAGTAGACATTTATAAAATTATATTTGTAAAATCTCGCGAAAATGAAATGATCAATTTCAACTTTTCGTTCGGCAATCTGGTCCGAACCTCTTCAGGGGAATTAATCGAAATTAACATAACTCTCGTGGCCCAAGTGGTCTAGTGGATAACGCCTTGGCGTTGGAAACTATGGGCACTAGGTTCGAGCCTCGGTGGGAACATCATCACTCACTGAGAAATGCAGGTACATCCAGATGACGAGTCCCAAATTGGACGAAATGCACATCCTGGATTCCACTGCTAGCCACCATCCACCAATTGTATAACATAACAGAGGTTTACATATAAAAGGAACATCTCTTGTTTTGAAACTTTATCTAATGATGAACCATGAAACAGTCATCAAAATTTAATGAACAAAAGTGCATGAACTGTGATCACAATTTGACCTCAGACATTCAAAATTAGTAAACAAAATTGTATGTTGATATATAAAGGGATATCTCTTGTTTTTAAATTGTTTGTCCTGTCATATGAAACAGGTACCTTCATGTATAATAAACAAAATTGTATGAGCTGTGATCAAAATTTGACCTCCAACTTTCAAAATTAGTCTACTTTTGTTAAAATATATGTGTATATGCAGTATACAATGGTGTGTGTGTGTATGTGTATGTGGGTGGACAGTCATAACACATTTGTTATTCTCTCTATAAGAAAACGTAGACAATCGGGAATTTGATCAGGTCTGACTACTTGTTGATACATATCCAATTTTATTTATTAGTCAGGATTTGCCATGCATCAGCTAACATCACACCTTCACGTCTGTTTAAACTGTTGGGATTCACCCATATATGTAAGGCTTCTGCAGTCAGTCTTTCTTTATATGAACCAAAACCTTTCTGTAAAACCATAGTCATATCAAAGTCGATCTTGTGTTCCGTTTCTATCGAATGCAGTTCAGGAGGAACAATTTAAAAACAAGAGATATCCCTTTATATATCAACATACAGTTTTGTTTACTAATTTTGAATGTCTGAGGTCAAATTGTGATCACAGTTCATGCACTTTTGTTCATCAAATTTTGATGACTCTTGCATGGCTCATGATTGGACAGAGTTTCAAAACAAGAGATATTCTTTTTATATATAAACCTCTGTTATGTTAATTTTGATTAATTCCCCTGAAGAGGTTAGGACCAGATTGCCGAACGAAAAGTTGGACTTAATCATTTCAATTTCGCTGAGATTTTACAAATATAATTTTATAAATGTCTACTTCTCACTCAGTGCTCAATTATTTAACAACTATGCGGTCAAATCTTGATCACAGTTCATATGAATTTGAGAGTAGTATTTCGAATGTCTTCATCTTCACGAGGGATGATCCCTAAACTAATGTAGCAACAAGTACAATCAACTAGTTAGTCATCGTCAGTCTGCTTTAGTCTTCTCAATCAAATATAAGTAGTTTGCACAACTGTAATGCAAGCCAACCCATGCAATTCACGATCTATATACTAATGATGGGGATTTGTCAACGGGGATTAATTCATCGACTAACATCAGCCTTGACGGAAATCAGCGAAATTTCCAATCTGAATTCGTAAAGAAGGATGATTTTGTATTGTGTCAATTATTCTCACTTGTATATAGAAATCCAATTGGTAACCATGAAATCATATGGCCAGCTTGTGTTAGGCCCTTGCTAATCGTCTTCATTTTTTCGTTGATTTGTTGTAGTATACAGAGATACAGTCTCTTCCAAGAAATCTAGAATGATAATTAACATTTGAGCTTTAGATGAGATAAACCAAACACTTGAGTTATGAATAAAACTGAGAACGTAGGCTTTCTCTGAAATACGGTACCTTGTTACAGATATATTTGATAAATACAAATCAGAAATGTTAAATTGTGAAGTGTCCAGGCTGACTGTAAGTAACGAAAAGTATTATCATGGTCCACCAAAAATATAACAGCAAGCTGGTGTTAAAAATGCTCGACGGTCAGAAATGAGAACCATGCCCGAATGTGCACAGCTAGGAAACAAGGGATTCGAAGAATCAAAGTTCATAAGTAAGTGATGAAACTTAAGGAAAATATGTACATCAAGTAAAATTTAGTCATGTTATTATTAAACTATAATTTTCTTTACAGGATTTCATCATGAGCTGACATCAGTTAGAGAACCAGTGGAAAACCTGGGAGTACTGGACAGCTGCTTCGTCCTAGTTTGGGACTCTTCAGCAGTACGCACCCACCGCCACGGTTCGAACCCAGGACCTTCTGGTTACAAGGCGAGCTCGTAGACCATTGAGCCACTGGGACCCGATCCAATGGTCCTTGAATTCTAACTTCTGCCAATTCACGACATAGCGCGACCACTTCGCAATGTCTTCTTCGATGAGTTACTGCCTCATCTTCAACCTGCTGTACCCTACTGGTCACGGCTTCCCACTAGAACCCCAGGTTAACTGCCTGAATAGGGCCAGTCACTAGTGAGCATCAGATTAATTTTCAAGTATTGGTTTTGTGGGGATTTTGTTTGATTGCATGGAGGATTTAATCATGAGCTGACATCAGTTAGAAAACCACTGTCCAGTACTCCCAGGTTTTCCAGTGGTTCTCTAACTGATGTCAGCTCATGATTAAATCCTCCATGCAATCAAACAAAATCCCCGCGAAACCAATACTTAAAAATACAAGAATTGACAAACTGAGAAAGCAAAGACTGCTTTATACCAGACTGCCTTAACTTCATAACGTAGAACGTTAAGCGAAACATCTGTCTAGTAACTAGCAAGATGTGGGAGAACCAGGAAAGATCGGTGGAAAAACTCGGCCCAAGGTACTTGACATTAGATGTATTTTCAACCCCTGTGCCGTCAGTGATAGTGGGGCCATATGAGCTAACTAGTTGTTGTAGGTCACGTTTACGTCTGAAAGTGAAATTGACTACCTGACATTTAGACAGATTAAGCTTAAGACCGTTTGGAGAGGACCACTGACTAATTTCCGACAGAAAGTTATTTAATTTGGAACACTGACTGAGAGTTGACAGACATAGAAACAGAGAGGTCATCGGCATACTTAACAAAAGTGGCTACATCAGAATGAGGCAAGTCATGTAAGAAAAACGAAAACAGAAAGGGAGAAAGAACAGCACCTTGAGGAACACCAGCTAAAGTAGGTGAGGTAGTGGAGGACTTTCCATTGTAGACGGTGTACTGCTTCCTATCAGAAAAATAGGAATGCAACCACTTATTTGTCCAGCTCTCAGCCTGTGTTGCAGCAAGCTTACTTAGCAAGAGAGACCTGGGAACAGAGCCAAATGCAGATGTGTAATCAATGAAGGCACAGCGAACGTATTTAGCTCCTTTATCTAAACTAGAGACTATACTATGATGTAGGACAACAGTGGCATCTAACGTACACCTATTATGTTTATAAGCAAACTGGTTGGGTTCGTTGAAAGGCTTTAAAGAGGATTCAGATTTAGTAAAATTAGTCTTTCCATAACTTTCAAAAAAGGTGAGGTAATAGCAATGGGTCTAAACTTAACATTAGGTCCACTTGTTGGTTTAGGCACTGGAACGATCTTGATATTTTTCCATGATTCAGGTATAATACTTTACTATTTCCACCATCCACATTTTATCACCACCCTATTACTGTTTATTAATAACATTGCTTTTTCACACGGATCTTATACAAAACCACTTTATAGCCTTTCCACTAGTTCCTGTCCACTCTACACTAGCTTATTGATTAGTCATTATCTCACACATATTCGGTCATGACAACTTCTGTCTCCTTTTTAACTTACAATTAGTCATCCCTTCTTACACCTCACATTATGAAGTAGAATTTTCAAGGACAAAGTTTACCAGGATCTGATTGGTCAAAAAAAGTTTCTGTGTTAATTATAATAACGATTGTACAGCTCATGAAAATGAATCGTCGAAAAGAAAACTTTCTTCGCTGTTTGTGCCTTTTTCTTACATGATCAATAAACTTCATTGTAGGAAAGTGGTTACACGATATATATTTCAGTGATCTAATATAATATTCAGAATACACTGGTAACTATTTCCCACGTTTTGTGAGTTATTGCAGAGAATTCCAATTATCATATGGATTCTCTTAAGAAAAAATCAAAACAAGGTACTTTTGTAATTGTTACTTTCACTGTGATAATAATAATAATAATAATAATGAATTCAAAAAATATCTCATCAAAACATGCATTAATTTTGAAGCTTGAAATTTAGCAGAGGATAAACAACAAGTACCTCGGTGAATATGCTTCTATATATAAAGGGGACCCAGTTGTAAATTTTTGATTGGTTAAGAATTGTCCAATTGTGAACTGAATTTTTCAGATTCATCACGTGACTAACCGATCAATAAATTATTTCATACTATTGTCTATATATGAACACCAACAGTTTAGTTGAAATAATTGGAGAGAAGAACAGATAAAGTGCATTGACCCTAACTTTATGGTGAATAATTACGCATACACATTTGAAACATCATTGAAGTATGAATTATCGGTTGCTTTTGAAAGAGATTCATGATTTAATTTCTGTTTGTGATGAAGAATTCAGTGGACAAGTGAAATTATATATTCCAGATGAAACACAGCCTTATATGATTTACTTTACTGTCACTCCAAATAAAGGATTATATGAACATGCATCATTTGAATTCTCTGTAAGTTTCTGTATAAATACAATCATGTGAATCAATATTCACAATTACTATTTAGATAACTGTTACTCCAACCTATCCAAACGAATCACCTTCAGTGAAATGTTATACACCAATAATTCATCCTAATATTGACTACCTATGTTCAACGGATAATGTGTGCGTCAATTTGTTGAGCTCATGGGAGAGGTTTGACTCTATTTCAACTTGTAACTGACGTTGATGCTTTGGTAGATGTTATAGGATTAAAGATGTTATACATGCAATAATATTTTTATTCTATGAGCCGAATCGAGATGACTGTCTAAATCCGAGTTCTTGTTCAACAGTGAAGAGAGCTATAGAGAAAGTGTGAAGTTGTTTTTGAAAGGTGGTATTGTGGATGGTCATTATTTCCCTCCGAATAAGTCATGGTGTGAATGGCAGAAGAATTCAGAAATAACAGAGGTAAGTTTTCTACTTTACTTTATTATTATTCGTATACAAAAGTTTATCGCTTAACTAAACAGTTTATGACATTGATCCTGATATACAAGATTATGAAATGAATAGAGGAAAAGTAGGGAATTTTGCAGAGTTAGAAATTTTGAGTCGTAGGTGGGTACTAACACTGATTAAACAAAGCATAAGGTACGCTGCGGACTACTAATGACTGTGGAGTACTAAAAGTAGAAATAGATTTCGAATACCACCTATGAGAAGAAAGCTATATTGGTTGTCATTCTGCGGCTACTTAACATATTTCTTCTTGTATCACAAATGGACAATTTCACGAGGTCTCTAACTTCACTAATGACTGATAAATTTTGGAGTATCAATGAAATCGAGGGAATCTAACACAGATTTTCTTTTTCTTATACTACTTACCAACTGTACTTTATATCTTGTGATGTTTTCAACGTAAAGATTTGCAAGAACGACAGATGGTGTTACCTAAAGCCACTTTATCTTTTTAACATAACATCACTTCATTGTTGAGCAAGGATTATACAACCGTGGTAATCAATACTGGATTGACTTTTCAAGACTGAGATTGATATAAGAATAAAACTTGTGCACTGTGGTAGAGTGTAATACCATTATGGGTAAATTTTGTTTTGATAAAGTCTCACAGTGTTATACAGTAATGTTTACTGATGACGTTTCGAGAACAATTTATTGCTCATAATCATATCAAGGTAATCACACGACTTCCTAACTTCATTGATAGAGTTCCATTGTTTTTCACTTGATTTGATTAGTAGTAGTATTTTCCATATTTCGGGTATGAGTGATGAGTCATTCTTATTGATTGTGTTGGGTGTAGACTCGATGAACAAGAATTCAGTAATCAACCTCTCTCTCCACCTACACAGATTACTTCTTAAAATCTTGCTGAGCTTTTTTCTAAATTACTTATCTTCTCGGGGTCAACCATTCTAACCTTAGCTAAATTCTTATGTTCTGACAATCTGACTACCCCTGACCTACTAGTTTGACCTATGTAGTTTACCTTATTCACAGTCATTGCAGGATATTTTGTAAATTATATTGTTTTGTCTAATTGGGTCCACCGGGTCTTTTAGCCTACAGGGCTTGTCCTGTCTGAGTGAGTTTGTAGGTTTGAATGCCACCCTAATTACTGTTTTATTAAGAATCCTACGTAGGGTCTCTGATGTTCCCTCTTTATATGGTATAACAGTGGATGACTTATATTCTCTCTTATTTGTGTTATCACCTCTAGCGTCACAATTATTTTTATTTTGTTTTTGGCCTTTCCGATCTTCCTGATGAATTTTATAGGATAGTTATTTAACACCAACGCTTCTTCTATATGTTTTGTTTCGTCATTTAGGTCGTTTTTGTGCTACTTAGTGCTATGGCTCGGTTTGTTCAACACTTAACTAAGCGTGCATTGACAGTTAACGGATGAGATGAATTGAAGTTAAAATATCTATTAGAGTGCGTTAGTTTCCTAGAAACACTAGTGTGTAGTTTGCCTTCTTCTATTCGTTTTATTTTACAGTCTAACATAGCTAATTCTTCTTATATAATTTTGCGATTCAAATGTGAATTTTATTCCCTGCACTATTGAGTTTATGTGTGTCAAGAAGCTGGAGATATGTTTTGTTTTTAACACTGTGAAAGTGTCATCCACATATCTCCACCATATTTATGGATACCTGGGAAAATATGGCTCTTAATACGTTAAATCCTACTCCAAACTCCTCACTAAGCTTCTTTCTGTCGTAGAAATTTAAACTAAAACACCCTTACCCTAATCCTAACCTTAAATCTAACCCTATTCATAACCTTAACCGTAATCATAACGAGCAATCAAGCTATTATTCAAACTAGTTAAAAACGACATCGGAATGAAAGCTGCACATCAGTTCGTACACAGCCTTCAGAGTAGTGGTACTGTGACAATAGTGGATACCGTTATCCAAAGAATAGTATGTGTTTAAGGTCAGTGGTGTGTTCACACTTCCGGATCGCTGTTGTTTAACTTAACCGATTGTATGTCACTGACGCATTAATCGCTCTTGTCATTTCATCTTCTCTATCCTAAAATGTCCTTTTTAACAGAAATCATCAGAAACCAATTTGTGTAAAGTTAGCGATATGACAATCTAAGCATTTATTCAAAGTAGCTCAGATAAGGTTTTGGACACTTCACACCATTCTTGATAAATTTCAGCGAATCACATACATGTTCATTTGTTCCAGTCCTTTTCAAAAGCTTTCAGCATATTTCACAAGAGTAATTCTTCTTTTCTCTAATTAAGTTTGCACGGGATACAGGGAATAGATGGATGAGCAGAGAATAGTGATTAGTTTTCCTCGTCACTATTTTGAAATTTAGCATATCTACACAAGAAATTTGCTTGTGGAATTCATTTACCAGCTTGATATTTGATATCACAGTCGTAGACACCTAGAGTTGGCCACTAATTTGATTGAAGTATACTTGATGACAGTTTTACTAAGATTAAATGGAAAAGGTAATGCTTGGTGATCAGTAAGCCATATGCATATTTGTGCAATCTAATTAACTGCCAAAAACACAGTTAAAGCTTGATTTCAAAAAGCAGACATCCACAAGGAAAGGGAACTTGGAAGCATTTCAAGGAAGTCACATAAAAGTTTCGTTTCCACAAAATGTATAGGATAAGAATATGCACAGTGTTCTTAGAAGAAGGAATAGCTCAGTGGTAACCTGTCTGACTGCAGCACTGGGTGACGCGGGTTCGAATCTCAGAAGGGACATGAGTCCCTTCAAGGTTGAAGACACACCTTGCTGACGAGTGCCAACTGGCACGAAACCTCGGTATGTCCAATGCTTTCTGCTGATTGCCTACAACCATCTGATATCATCAAAGCAATTTGTACCGTAGTGGCGAGCTACCTAGAATGTGGCCACATTGCAAACCTGACTGACAGAACTCAGTGTGCACCAAAGAAAGGACTAGATACATCACATTAGCTAGTAGTGTCCAATCAAACGAATGTTATTTTTAACTTGTAGCAAAAAATATACAAAATCATATCTCCATTCTCCACATATATACCAGGAGAAAATTTTAAATTAAAGAGCACGAAATTTTACTGGAATAATCCTCACACTGTTATTATAACGATTAAAGATTTATACTCTCCGTCTAGTGGCATCTGAAGAAAGGCATCCGACAGATCAGTCTTAGGAGAGATTTTATTAGCAAGTGATGAAATGTATAAGCCCTCTGGATCTCTACCGTCATGGCACATATATGCAATCTGGGATGGACGGTTATTCTGAAGTAATCACAAGTTCTTGATGCTTCTCCGTACTGTTTTACTACTTTTAATATACGAGTTTCCTATGGTGAGCTAATAACTTACTGAAGCATTCTATCGTCTTTAAGTTTATTCAAAGTTAATCTAAGAGGTTACGTTTACGTACACGGAATATTCTTTTCAATAATTTCTCTTCAGGTTCTTACAACTATAAAACATAATATTTATTGTCGGTACAATAATGTCCAGTTATGCGGCGGATACATTTTTAACGTAGAATAACAGATTAGTTATTGGGTGTCAAAATAAATAGTCGTATTTGTGTGACAAACGTGCTGGACTGAAATCGATTAAAAAATTTGTAAAATGGGAGACAATGGTGGTGACTAGTCATAATAGATTTGTAGAGTGTGAGGTAGGAAAATTGACAAGTCAGTTCAAGGTTATAAAAGGTGTCAGGTGAGTGGCTAGTACAATTTTTTTTATTCCTTCACGTTACCCAGTGGAAAATAGGGCTTCAAGTTAGTGGCTTGAAGTTTCTGTAGCAGTGTTTATTTTACAGGATGGGGTTGCTAGCCTCATGACCAACCTTTCCTCTTTACCAGCATTATTTCTGGCTTAGCGAGGTAAAGGAGTGTGCCAGTGGCCGGGGATCGAACCCCGGACCATGTGCATGGTCGGCGAGCGTCCTAACCACTATGCCACTGACGCACGCTAGTACAAATTAGTGCGTATTAAAGAGGAGATAGTAAGACTGCACTGAGAAGTTCATTCGTCATGAAATAATCTGTGTGTGAAATGAAGAAACATGTACACACACACACCATTGTATACGACATATGCACATATATGTTCTTCATGTCCAGTTATCTACGAACATGCACTTTAGGTCAAATATTGATTACAGTTCACAAAATTTTTTTTATTATGTTACTATGCCTATCTCATGACTCATGTGATTGGACAGAGTTTTTGAAAACAAAAGATGTCCTTTTTATAATATAAACCTCTGTTATTTTAATTTCAATTAATTTCCCTGAAGAAGTTCGGATCAGTTTGCCAAACGAAGTGTTGGATTTACTCATTTCATTTTCGCTGAGACTTTACGAATGTAATTATTACAAATGTTTGCTTTTCATTTGCCGCCCAATTAATTTGGAACTATTCGGTCAAATTGTGATCACAGTTCATATGAGCACTATTAGTTAGAATGTAAAGCCACAACTTCACTAATGCTCACCCAGCGGTCCATTTCACCTACGAAGAAGACAACGACTCTCTACACTTCATCGACGTCCTACCAACGAGAAAAGAGGAGGGTTCCGTCAAAAGAACCATATATAGAAACCTAGAGACCAAAGCTCAGTATACACACTTCCATAGCTTCGTGCCGATGAAATACAAACGTAATCTAATCAGGTGCTTTCATTTAGAGCGAGGTCTATTTGTTCTGAAGACTGCGTAGAGAAGGAACTCCAGGTTATTCGAGGCATCCTAAGTGAGAACGGATATCCAGAGAAGTTCATTAAAGCCAACATAGGTTACAATAGTCGTAAACATGAACTGGCAACTGTAGAGAAAGTCTCTGTTTCTACTTCTCCAATTCAAGGGAGATACTCCTGCAGAGATTCTATCGCAACGTTTAATCAGGTCGATCAAGAAAACTTTCTACTCTGCACGTCTGTGTCTATCCTTCACTAGCCGCCCAATGCTCACCCAGCAAGTCAAAGACGTCTTACCTAACCTTAGCTCTTCTTCATGCATATACCATTTCAACTGTTCTTGTGGTTCAAGTTATATAGGGCGCACGATTAGGCAGGTTCGTCTGCGGGTTCGAGAACACTTACCAGCTTAGTTCAGCAGGACGGGGGGGAATTAAGTGCATAAAAAGCTCGATTCCGTCACACTTGGTCGATACTGGACATCGTATCGATGTCAACACAGCTTTCAGGGTTATATACCGAATTCCGAAGTCGTTATCACGTACAGTTCGCTTACGTCTCCTACACATAGCTGAAGCTGTTGTAATAAGATCGACTAAACCGGAACTTTGTATCCAAAAGGAACACGTCCAGACGCTATTCCTTCCGTGGCCAAACTTGGACTGATGATTTTTCTTCGCACAAAGAGTGCCCCTCCTCCTTAACCCTCTTGGTTTTTTTTCCTTTTTTTCTTATTATTACAAATATTATTACTACAACTATTATTATTATTATTCATAATGTATGCCCCTCATGCAAACATTCCCTCAATACTATCGAATTTTCATTTATACTATCCGGACTAATTATTAGTGATATTATCTCTTTTCTCAATATATGCCTCCATCTGTTTCATTTCACATATCCGTTATTTCATTATGAACCTCTCACTTCGGTTTCGCCATCTCCTCTTTTAATGAGTACCACTTTGTACTAACCATTCACCTAACACCTTTTATAACCTTGAACTGACTTGTCAAATTTTCATACCCCACATTCTACGAATCTGTTATGACTGATCACACCCATTGTCTCCCATTTCACAACATTTTGTAGTGGATTCCAGCGTAGCACGTTTGTCACACAAATACGACTATTTATTCTGACACCCAATAACTAATCTATTATTCTACATTAAAAATGTATCCACCGCATAACTGGACATTATTGTAATGACAATAAATATTATATTTCATAATTGTAAGAACTTGAAGAGGAGAACTTATTGAAAAGAATATTCTTTATTCAGATTGACTTTTAATTCATAATATGGGAATATTTCACACTAACAATGTGATCGGTTTATGTATTTCATAGAACAAACTCTGGCATACTACAATAACAAAGGTACAGTTATTCATCATGAGCTATCTAGCATTAATTAATAGAATTAGAATAATAAATGAATTAGGCCTTCATTCGCACCAATTTACTAGTTTAGATAGCAAATAAACAATTTGATATGACGCCTTGTTACACGAATACATTAAACACGTAAATGTGAAAAAAATTTACAAACCAACAAACTTATTAATTAACATTTTTTTTAAATTTTCAAATGAACAGGAGGTAAATACGTTAAAAGTACAAAACGAAATAGGCGAATCCTACTCACCAACAAGTTGGCAAACAAGTTACAATTCATCACAATACTGTAAAGAGATTTACGCTCGTTGTGAATCCAGTTTATCTAATTGCTCATCGTTGAGTAGTGAATATCAAATATTTACTCAAAATGTATCCTTATTATTTCTTGAAATTACAATTGAAAAAATAAGCTCAGTAAGTGAAGAGGAAATACAGACATTCAAAGGATGTAATGCTTCACGTTATTATTATGTTGAATTTTATTCATGTGACCATTCTAACTTTGAGGTTACAGCAATAAACCGAAGCTGGATTCCATCATTCCCTTTGAGTGAAGATGGTAAATTAAACTTGATGCAAAAATCATCACAGTTTAATCCACGTATAGTCAGAGATAAAGAAAGTGATTTCCAATACTCTTCTGAATCAATACCCACTGGTTCTGTGTATGATAGTGATAATTTTGAGGGTGAAAGTGATTGTTCATCACTCAAAAGAAGGATGATTTTTAGTAAGACTGAATGTTTCGATGAAGTGGACAAAGAATGTCTTCCTGAAACAAATGAAGTCTTTGATGTAATGGGAAGCATGTCATTCTCAGACTTTGAAGTTTTAGATGAATACAACACTTTTGATTACTTTAAAAGCGATTTATTCTTCAAACCGAATAGATATTATGTTGACCAGTCAATGATATTGTTTAAGAGAATTGAGAAACCCTGGTGGTGGATATTTTTTCAAACACGTTGGGCTCCATTCATTGCACCTGGACGATTCTACTATGTTGAAGGAAGTAAAGAAGCAGAAGATGCGACATATAACAGAATAGGAACTTGTTCACATTTACGAGTAGAGTTAAATCGATTGTCGACGAAGTATAAAAATTGTGACAATCTTTTCCTTGTCGATTCATTGGTAAGTAGGAATTAGTTTACATGTTTTTATAATTCTGATTTCCTATTAAAATTTATTCATTTAACTCCAGATTCATTTTCCAGATCTTATTTCTGTGTTATTACACTTTGGTTCTTTGAAAATGTCTACTCGTTCAATAATAAATTTAGAAAAAATCCCCATTTAAACATTTAGAAGACGAAAAATTGAGCGAAGAAATATTTACTTTGAATAATATATATATATATATATATATATATATATATATATCTTAATAGGGACTTTTTTCGAAATATATTATTAAACGAGTAGACATTTTCAAAGAACCAAGAAAAATAATACAAAAATTAAATGATGGCAATAATCGCACATCTTAAACAAGGGGATTGCGTAATGCATAATTTCAGGAAAGTAAGTAAGCATCAGTTAAGACATGAGTTTTCAAGTATTGGTTTTGTAGGCATTGTGTTTGATTGGTTGGAGGGTTTCATCATGAGCTGACATCAGTTAGAGAACCATCGGAAAACCAATATGGAGTACTGAACATCTGTTTCGTCCTAGTTTGGGACTCTTCAAAGCACGCCTCCACCAAATAGTTTCAAAAGCAGAAGATTTTGGTTACAAGGCTAGCGAGCTCGTAGACCATTAAGCCAATGGGACCCGATGCAATGACCGGCACATTAATTCCGATTTCTGCCAATTCATGACATAGCGGGCCCATCTCGCAATGTCATTTTCGATGAGTCACTGCCTAACGTTCAACCTGCTGTACCCTACTCATCATGGCTTCCCACCAAGAATCGCAGGTTAGCTTCCTGGATACGGCCAGTTGCTAGTTAGCGTTGCGAAGTGTTCGCTCTATGTTATTAATCGGCAGACGTTACAATTTATGGGCCGCACGATCGAGTCTCAGTGGCTTAATGGTCTTTTGCCATCTGCCTTTTCAGCTTCAGTGGCCAGATTGTCGTAGAATTGTCTTATGTCCTTCCTATCACTTTTCTTCACTTCTTTTTCCAGTGCTGTGTAAGTTGAGCTCAGCGTCTCTTTCTATTGTCCGTCTTTGCATTAAATCATTTTTTCTTTCACCATTCTCCTCTCTTCTATTAGCTTCCAAATGTGCATTGAGAGCCATTCCTTGTCTTGTCTCTTCTTTCTTCCTATAACCGTTGAACACGTTTTGTGAAAAAATAACCTTCAGAGAGTTCCAATGGTCTTCCACGCATGATTCTTCAGTGCTGTCGCGTAGTGTTTCCTGCTTTGCTCTGACAGTTGCAGTGAAAGTGTCTTTTGTGGTTGTGTCCTTCAGTAATTGAGTGTTGAACTTGCATTGTGGCCTATCCCCAGCTATCCTCGAGGCTTTTAGTTTCACCTTGAAAGTCCCTTCTACTAGATAGTGGTCTGAACCCACATCTGCTCCTCTCCTCGACTTTGTGTCCAGTAGGCTCTGTCTCCACTTTCTTGAAATTGAGAAGAAGTCTATTTGGTTTTTGGTGTTTCCATCTGGTGAAATCCATGTCGTCTTTTGTATATCCTTGTGTTTGAAAACGCTGCCACCAATCACTAAATCATTGAAGGTGCAGAAGTCTGAGAAGAGTTCGCCATTGTCGTTCATTTCACCGAGGGCCTCTCGATCCATGGTGAGTTCTCTTCCTGTATTATCTCCTTTCAGCTTCGCATTCATATCACCCATCAGGATTTTGATATCGCCATTTGCGACGTTGTCCATTATTGTTTGTAGTTGTCTGTAGAACGCCTCCTTCTTCTCTTGTTCTGAGACGTTTGTAAGCATATAGCATTGGATGATTGTAACCTTCCTTCCTTTTGAGTTGAACCTGGCTGTCATTATCCTGGAGGAGATTTGTTCCCACTACATGAGAGCTTTGTCTGCTGTTGGTGACATCATGATGGCCACTCCCTTGGTGTGCTCGTGATTGTCCTCTGGGTGACCGGAATAGATTGTTGTCTCTCCAGTTGGTAGTTGGCACCTTCCACATCCGCTCCATCTGCTCTCTCAGATTCCTAACACTTCTATTCTATATCTTCTCATTTCTGCGGTTACCTGGGCAGCCTTTCCAGTTCCGTACATTGTACGAACATTCCACGTACCCATCCTTATTGTTGCTTTTATCGAAAGAAGGCATATCGGCTGACTGGCTTCATGAAGGCTGTCACCAGCCTGTGTCATTTCACTTCCCCGATTCCATCGAAAAATAAGGTTGTTGTTTATATTTTTAGAATTTTTAATATATTTATTCGTTGAAGTTTCTGTAGCGATTTGGTTGTTTTACAGGGGTGGAGTTGTTAGCACCACGCCCCAACCGTCCCTCTTTATCCGGTCTTGGGATCGGCTAGAAAACTAGCGAGCTAGTAATCTAGGCGAGGTTACAGCTATTCATCCCAGAGATTGGAATGTTCAGGGCATCAATTCAACTGGAAATCACAACATTAAACATATGATGAAACTTGAGACAAGACAAAATTTCTGCTGTAACATCCTTCACATACTCATTCGTAACTTCATTGAAATGCACAATCATTCGGATGTGAAAAACCATACTACCCTACAGACAGTAACACTGATTCTCCTTGATCGACAATACATCTCACAATCAAAATTTGAGGCGAAGCATACAGAGTATTAAGATAATACTGTCTACCCTGAAATTCTAGTACAATGCGAGTAATGTTATTTTGAGAGAAATCAGCTACTAAGTAAACCATCTCAATGTTACCTCAGGTTTGTACAGTCTCCATCCATTCACATTTATATCTTTAATTCACAAACCAAGTGTTTACTTTTATAACTTTCAGGCTTTGTCACCATTCTCACCCATACTGAATAGAATCACGCGGATTCCTCCATCAGATATTCCACATAGGTGTTTCAAATTCTGTTGGAGAAGTATTGAATGGCTGTCTCTAACATGGGCGTGGTTCCCACCACCAAATACGAAAGAGTCAGAACACCTGATTCTTCCTGGAGCTGGTCTGCTTACAACAATGTGTTGGATCTCGAACTGGATCGCTTATGCTTCACGTGTTGAGTTATATCATTCGTGTCTGGGATATTCGAGACGTTTGTCCGTCCTTCCTATGGAGAGTATGGCCACCTGTTGTTTATCACCAGCCAGTCTAGTTTGTGGACACTGTCCACTGCTGGATGGTTGGCCGTTGTGGTTGTTAACACACGCTAGTCGGTTGATGTGTTCATGGATGCTCTCCATTTGTGTCTCACTGTCTGACTATTTATCTCAGAAATCGTGTAGTCTGCATTTTGTATTTGATGATTCAGATGAGATATGAAGATGTTGTTGAATTTTTTTTATTATTTACATGCACACATGTTGATGTACCATAATCGAAATCATCATTGCCCTCCTAACCGAGTTAATTTTTGAATATATTTTATACTTTGCACAGAATATAAATAAATTGTTGATTGAGTTGTCTTTTGCATTGCAACAAATGTGTTCTTCCATCATTATTCGCATGATGTGCCTTGCGTTTAATCTCACATATCATATGTCGTAGGAAACGACAGTGTTGATGACGAGAATCTTGTTTCCAAGAAACAGTTAGAGATGGGGCTGGCCGGATCGACAACATTCACTGAGATGGGATTTGTTTTGTGTTCTTGAATAACAGAGAATGCAACTGATGATTGTGTTTTGCAGTAGAATCTGTCTGACAAGTAAATCCAAGACGCCTCTCATCAATAGTCTGTTGACAGTCATGTGTTTTCATCTCCGAATGGCTTTAAATAATAATAATAATAATTTTCTTCCAATGTGTTCGTATAGCTTGGACACCTGAGTTGTAATGGTGTCTGGCACAAACGATAAATTTCTAATGATTGATAATTTCTACTCTACCCATAATTGTATCGGAAATGGAATATTCACGGTTAGTGCAAACATCTGAGCAATAGAGTATATTTCGGCCAATATTCGCTACACTAGGCACAGTGCGCGCCTATTTCCAATGCTGTACAACTTCACTGGGTATAATTTCTGACACTACCAGGATCTTGTAGGACATTTCGACTCAATGTTGGACGATTCCTCACAAATTTGTCTCTCTCCCAATCGATCAGACAGAATATTTGACACTTCGGTCAATTCAAGTAGGTTTCATTGGTCGGTAGAAGTATGTAAGAGAGAAGAAGAAGAAGAAGAGGTGGATGAGAGTGATATTCAATAAAGGAATATAGTCAGCACATTTCATCTGGAAACTGATTAGTGGATATCGTTCGACTTAGGGACAAACGGTAGTGAACGGTAACAGGCAGTATTGCACTACTGATGTCAATCTATCACTACGTTGCACAGGGCAGGTTATAGTATAATAAGTCTCCGGCGAATATTTCATCGAATAAATATGCATGATGAAATAATCTTGTAAATCATTGAATTATCTCTGGTCAGTCAGTTGAATTTTCCGTTAGGAATCTAACATTGTCTTCAGATAGTAGAGATACTACATTGTGAACGTCTAAATTACCAGTAGCTGAGTATATCGGAAAAGAAGCTCACAGACAGATTTATTCGTTCGTATAATGTGAAAGCATTTCTCTGGGGAAGACACTGATAATGATAGACAAAGTGCAGTTTGAGAAATTCCCTTCTGTCTGAATTTTGGTTATCCAATTCATTCAAGGCATCATCTTTTGACAGAGGAGAAGCTGAGGAAATCTTGTTGAATGTTGTTGACGGTAATCAAGAATTAGGTGAGTGGTTATGATTAGTTTCTTTCTCGCCAAGAAGTAAATAAATAGTGAAGTAAGTGGTATTTGAGTGGAAAATGTGGTTATTTGAATTTCTTAACAAAGTGGTGTGAGGTAGATGATGATGTTGATTAGTTGTAACAAAGTTACACAATATTTTCTCTAATTCCTTGCATTCCGAGGTGAACGTGTGGTTTTAATCTTTTTAAGTTTGATTAGCTTTGGTGATGTTTTTCACTTGCTTGCTTCGATTTCAGTATTTCGTATTTTCCGGGATCTAAAATTTTTGTGCAAAAGTCAAACAGAACAATACGTTTTTTGAAGGTAGTTCACTGCTACCCATAAGCTATACATTGTAAAGGTGACTTTATTCATGGGAAATCGCAATTGTAAGGTATTCTTTGCTGTCAACAGTTTCCTGTCACACAACGTGAAATTGAAGCATTAAAAATGGGGGTCGATCAAAAGGAAGGGTAAATAACCATGATTAAGTAAGGAAAGAAGGTACAAAAGTATTAGAACGATAATATAAAGGTCAGGTGAGAAGAATAGTAATTGCAAAATTGTTTGAAATATTCAATTTGAAATGAATTTAGTAAGGAGATTGTTAATGTGGGGGATTTTTAGATCAGTTATCCCGCTGTAGTTTATACTGGTAGTATTCCTTGACGGGTTGATGGTGGTCAGCTTAAGAGTCCTTTGGAGTGATAAACCCACAGTTTTCTTTGATCCACCATATTGTTGACTGGATTTTCTTCATTGACTTCTGGTTTGATATGGAATAGTGTAGTGTGTGTCTTAAGAAATTTCACTAGAATATCGTCCTACTGATTACATATATAAGTAGTCCAGTCATTCACCAAAAGTATTCACTCGTAAACTTGACTAGGAGAATTCACTTAACACTTGAACACTTATTACCGGTTACTTGCAAGTGAACAACCTCCACTCCATGACAGTCCTACAAGAGATCAATAGTAGCCTCAACACATCTATGTGATAATGTGCAAATAACAGGTGTGCATCACAGAAGAGTCGCCAGTTCCTTTGAAATGTCAAATAAGTATGGCCAGTGAAACATAGGTCAGGGCGTCATGGTAATAGCCTTCGGACATATGTCATTGTTTCAAAGTGATAAAATAATGTTTCCCATCAGGGAGATTAGAACAAAGATTAATGCGATAGGATCAAAGAAGACAGTATCTTCTGTTGCCGTAATCCGGAAAAAGCAGCTTTATTTGATGATACTAATTGCTGTACCCAACCAGTTCATCGTCACTCTTCTCAAAATATTTATTATGAGTCCTCTATATTCCGAGTAGGACACACGACTTGAGTATCAGAACTTCACTTCATCCTTTTCTCTTCAACTCTCTTCTGCTGACTCTACACTTGTCCATAAGATCTCGTCGCATCCCCTCTAGATCTCCCCCATGCCGTTCTGGGACCCACGCCAAACTCGTCGTCTCCCGTCCGAATTCCGTTTGACGGTCTGTTGCGCGATATCGCTAAATGGTCTTCTCATTGTGTGTCTGATCCATCACCATATTTTCAGAATATTTGTCGATATGTAGTTTCTTGTTTGGTTCATTTCTAGAGCTTGTTGCTCCTAATCCTTTTCAGATGGCTGTATTATATTCAGTTTTATTTATTTTTTTTTTTATTATTTTTGATTACAGCGAAAGGGATAGCTCTTGATTAAAGTTTCAAGCCAATTAGAAGTGCTTTTAATGACGCCTGCGTTAGTTCCATGAAATACATAAAAGCAGTGACTTGATGATAATGTTAAAAATCTGAATTTGTTCTTTATGTTAAGTGTGGTAGATTTCTCACTGATTTCAGAGTAACGATGGTCTGTCTTGCTTTTCAGATCCTGGCTTTAACATTTTTTCATCTATGCCGCTTGTAAAATTATATATATCTAGACCATAGATGATACGAATTTCTTGGAACAATGTGAGCTCCATATTAGAGTGAATCATTATAAAATTACCTACATTAATCCCAGTGTTTGAAAAAAATTCAAAACAGCTTCTTCAGCGGAATTACTCAAAATATGTAGTCAGAAATTACGTAAATTAAAGTGGATTCCTTTGATGGTCACATGTTAGTAGATATCTGTGTCGACAGAAAAGTGTAAACAGTCATCACATGTTTGTGATGGACTAATGTCAAATCGTCATAGGAGCATCTTTGTCTTCATGTGTGTGTATGTTGTTTGGTGTATGGAAAACATGTCAATTCAAATTTGAAAAACACAATAATTGTTTGGAGGATTTCATCATGAGCTGATATTAGCCTGGGACTATTCACCGGTACGCAACCACCAACAAGGTTCGGACACAGGACCTTCTGGTTACAAGGCCATCTAGCTCGTAGATCATAAAGCCACTAGGACCCAATCCAGTGGCTCAGCCCATGAATTCTAACTTCTGCCAATTAATAACATAGCACAACCACTTCACAATGTCTTCACGTGATGCTCACTAACGAATGGCCCTATTCAGGCAGTTAACTAGGATTCTAGTGAGAAGCCATGACCAATAGGTACAGCAGGTTGAAGGTGAGGAAGTAACTCATCGGAGAAGGGATTACGAAGTGATCGTGCTATGTCATGAATTGGCAGAAGTTAGAATTCATGGGCTATTGGATCAAGTCACAGTGGCTTAAAAGTCTACGAGATTAATGAAATGAACAATTTACAGAGGTTGCATTTATATAACTTATGTAAAAAGGTAAAAATTTAGGCAAGTACAAACATACAAAATTAGTCGTCGGATACACTAAAATTTGAGTTGCACAATCAAAACAAGAGATGAGAAGTTGATCATAAGTAATTAATCATTTACACAATAGTGTCTTGAGTGCAACGCAAGTCATAGAAACAGAAGAAGAACAAACTAAACTACGTCAAACCAAAAGTGGGGGAAAGTTAGAAAGATTATGTTCTCAAAGGAGAGGAGGAGATTAGACGCTGAGTTACAAGGGTAAGGAAGGAGTGATATATGGGGATCTTTCTAAACAAACAAATGAGGTCAAGTTGTATTGTCTGTTAACAATCTTGAAGGATTTCATTCTGTCCATCTCATGGCCCATATCAACAAGATGTCTAGGAATAGCATTTGTCTCCTGAGATGCAAACTTTTTGGGATATGTTCGGAGAATCTGAGATATACCCTTCTTTCTGTTCTCCCAGTGTACCTGCTTCCTCAGATACATATGAATTTGTATACATAATTAGAGTTAACATGCGTAGGGTATCCAGCAACCTTTGATTGTACCAAAGAGTTTGTTGTTCGATAAATGAGAATTAATCTAACTTCAGTATAAGCTCTGGCTAGAAACGTTTCTAGTCTTCTGTTAGGTATTCCTGCAATATTTTCACCTTTGAAATCCAATTAGATGTGGATAGGTTTCTTATTCATTTTGGTTTGTTTTACATTTAGATTTTCATATCCTTCATATTTATTGATGAATTTTGAAGACTAACCATTGTTTTCCGAAATTCGTTCAAGGTTCAGAAGTCCTGCTTCTAATTTTTCATTGAGGTATATCCTTCTGGGTCTGTAAAAGAGAGTTTTGACCAATAGTCGTTTGTAGCTAGTTGGATGAAAACCATTCAGAATTTAAGTACAGTTTAATCTACGTGGATTTTCACTGAATGGGTCTTTGCAAACCACCATCTTCCTAGCATCGTATAACAGTGCCAGGATAATGGAA